GGGTGAGGCAAAGGGTGAGGCTGCTGGTGGTGGGGGTGGGGCGAATGGGAGGTCATGGCGAGGGCGGTGGCGTCACGTTGAGAGGCGCAGGAGGCGAGATGGGAGAGGAGGCGGGAGCGCAGGGGGTCGCTGGAGTCCAGGCCCTCCACGGCGCTCAGGTAGCGGGAAACCTCCGTCACGCACTCCCTGAAACCCAGAGACAGGAAGTCCAGCGCCAGAGCGTGGGCGTCAAAATAACCTACAGGGAGAGAGAGAGACTGTTACCATGACGACGGGCTGATGATACAGAAGTTAAAGGGCCAGTGTTTGTATTTACTGACATCTAGTGGAGGAGTTACACACTGCAACTGAATACTGAAGAGTTACAGTTTGTTACATTAATATAAAATAAAAATAAAAACATAAGAATCATTTTATTTTTGTTACTTAAGAATGAGACGTTTTTATCTTACTGTAAATATTACAACATTATCATTACTCTGTCACATACTGTACTATATTACTTCTATCTTTACTGTCATATATTGTATTATATGGTTTGTTTTATATGTTCATAGCTTTAAATACATTTTATATTTCCTGTTCTATAGATACTGTGTTAGATATTGTAATATAATTATTATATTTATAATATTATTAATGGGATAATGGCAGAAGTGTAATGGCGTCCAGCTGGATGGATCACAGCGTTGATGTTCAGCTTTTAAATTGTTCCTAATGTGTGTAACTTTATATATTTTATGTGATTTGTGTTTTATTATGAGTCTAAATGTTTAAACGCACAGTGACAGTAACATCTGCCTCAGATTATTAATGATCGGCTGTTTGCTCTGTCTGACTTTACGCTGCCACTGCTGTTGAACACAAACAAACGCTGCAGATAGACGGCCTGTGAACGCAGCCAACGCTGACCCCCGCCTCCTCCCTCACACCTCCTCCCCCCTCCTCCCCCGCCGGCTTTATAAAAGCAAACAGCGCTGCTCAGGGTCAAGTGCTGCTTTTATCCCCGCAGCGTTTTCCCATGCACTCACCACCTCTGTCTCTCACACACTCACACACTGACTTCAAACAACCAATGCTGACAGGTTGTTAGAAGCTGCACTTGAACGCATCATAAAGCTGCTCTGAGTGGACAAAGACAGATAAAACTCAACAGACTCAAACTGAGAATATTTCTGATTAAATCACTGAATCTAAATCTTATTAATCTTGTCCAAAGTGCTGTAAGGCCTCCGTACACAGTGGAGCTGTTCTCCATGTGCTCCTCGTACGTTTGAAACCCAAACTTTGGAGCAGCGTCCCGCTTCCAGCTTCACTGTGGCTGTAATATGGAACAAAGACTGGAAGAGTTTCACTTCATATAATTACAACCATCAGCTGATATACTACAGCGTTTATTTATTTACCTTCAGGTTAAACTGACTCCTGATGTTTATTAACACAATTAATTAATATTAAAAGCCTTTTAATATCTCTCAGCTATTTACTCATAAGAACAGTTAAAAACATGTTTCATTTATTCTTCTTTCAGTTGTTAAATTGCAGCTGCAGTACGTACGGCGGATTGCTGGTTCGATCCCAGTCTCTGGTGGTTTACAGGCACGATGACCACGTTACGGCGTTACAAGAATTTATACCTGCGTGCTGGTGTGTCTGCGCCAGACAACACCGACAAACACCAGTTGGCACAGACACTGGAAGTTCATCTGTTCATCACAAGATATCTCGCCTTCACGGAAAAGTCCATTCTCACTGTGTGCACTGCTATATTGTGGTTATATTGTGGATATATTGTATATATATTGTGGTTATATTGTGGATATATTGTGGATATACTGTGGTTATATTGTGGATATACTGTGGATATACTGTGGTTATATTGTGGATATACTGTGGTTACCTTTCCCTCCTGTAGCCTGCAGAACCTTCAGATGATCCACAGTCATCTGCAGAATCTCTGCCTTCTCCAGTTTGGCCGAACCCTAAAAAAAGCGACCAGGAGTTAAAGCAGGAAGCACCTGAACGCTAAAATAATAAGGAACCCAACAGTTCAACAACAGCAGCAGATAACGTACCTTCAACCACAAACTCAATGTTTCTGTTCCACTGCTTCATTTTAACAGAAAACCACCTGATTTCACTGGAAACGGCTCGATGAACGACTGACCGCCAGCTCGTTTTTAGATCATTTGGACTTTAATTCCACTAAAATATCAACTTAAAGGACCAGTGACCCTGCACACTCTGTATATTTCACTGTGTCCAATGTGCACTGAACCTCCCGTCTGATAGGCTCAGAGGAAGCAGTAAGAAGTAAGGTAACTGGTAGCAGCGTCTGTTGGAGATACTGCAACCTGAAGTTAGCGTGTTAGCTCGATGTCTGTTAGTGAGCTTGTGGATGAGCATCGCTGCGTCTTCCTGGTGCCACTGACACTGATTATTGATTATTTATTGCTTCTGTTTGGTTCTCACCTGCTTCTCGAAGGCCGTGGGGACGAGACGCCGTAACTCCGACAGACTGTTGTTGATTCGGTCTCTGCGTCTCTTCTCGATAATCTGACAGAGAAAAAGAATCAAAAGGTCAAAGTGAGTCTTTAAACACAACAACAGCAGCGTCAGTGTTCTTCATCAGTGAAATACCCCTCTGCGCTTCTTCCTCGCCATCACTTGAGTGGTCGTAGTCGGCGATCCACATGTGATGTACGCCGTCTTCATGTGCCTGAAAGACACAATCATCAGGACGTAAATGATGGTATTTGTGCAGCTGAGCAGTTATTGAGGCTGTAATTGAGCCTGCTGCTACAGGAGAAAGATCTTATTTATTATTGTATATTTAACTATATGAGGAGTTTTAGTATTTTAAGGACAAATTTCTCTCCAAGAAATCATTTTTAAAGACAGATATTGAATTACTTTGTCTATAATGTGTTTTTTCCAGCTGTTTCCTGCAGCTGTGAGTACATTTAAGATTAAGAACAATGTTTGAATATTTCCATTTTAAGCTTCTTTATATTTTATATCTCAAAAGGGAAATATTGAACTTTTTATTACATTTATTATAAAGCTGAACAAAATATTACTTTTTTAAAATTTCACCAGAAAAACACGTAATTATTTTATAATTAACATTAGCTTAGCAGTAAAATCCTACTTTATTAATCTAATAATATCTATTAATTGGTTGATTGATTACCTGCTGATACACACATTTATACCTGCTGAACACAGACAGGTTTTAGAGGCTGCTGAAAGGGATTGTGGGAAACGTGGGACATATATGGAGTCAGTAATTAGAGTTGAAGCAGGTTGAGGGATTAAAATACCTTCTGTCAGCTGAATCACTGATTGATGAGATTTAACTGTTATTTAAAATATGTTTGGTGACTTTAGTTCAGTTTATGTGAAACATGTTTAGTGTCTGTTTATATATATATTATATTAATTAATATTCTTTAAGCACATTGATCTGTATAAACTTTATGATAATGCAGGTTGTTCAGTACAGTTCTGTTAGGTCACTTTAAACCATCAGTTTCATCTTTTCATCTGTTTCATATCCAATAATAAAGTGTAAAGTTATCATCTGAATATTCAGTAAAAACCATCTGCAGACTCATTTATAAAAACACTTCAAACATTCAAACATTAATGGCCTGAATGATTCTGAATCAATCCACAGTAAGATAGAGGAATGTTTTCCTCCTCACTCACCCTGGATAAACGCTCTCCCTGCCCACATCGATGGGCTCCTCCACATCACTTTCTGCCGAGCTGCTGTCCTCACACGGCCGCTTCATGGTGCGCGGACGGCGGGGAGGGCTGCGCGTCTCTCCCCGGGAGGGGGGCGCGGAGGTCCGGAGGCCGATTCAAGTTTCCCCCTCTGAACCAAACTACCTGTTTCAAATCCGTTGATATATCTATAGAGAATGCACGAACTACAGCTCTATCACTCTGATATAGTTAGTGTGCTTTTACAGGAATATCAGAGCAGATTTAGAGACAATCTGTTTATTCCAGCTGATCCGGTTTCTCCTCCAACAGTTTCTCCTCCAACAGTTTCTCCTCCTGCAGAATGATGAAATTAATGATCCAGATAAATGAGCCAAAAACGCCTTCAGCAAAAGGAACTTGGTGCGAATCTTCCAATCTGACTGTTGTCAATAAAAGTCTGTAATAATGTTCAATATTATTAATTATTCAATCCGAAAATTAATTCTTCGGAGCCTCCAGGAGTTTGTTTCCAGCGGTGTGTGTCCGGTAAATAGTCCGGGGCAGGTGGCCCGTGTGTCGGCTGCAGACTGGACTGGTGACCGGTGTGTCCTCCTCCTCCTCCTCCTCAAAATCCTGTTATCAATGGCGAAACTCGGTTCCGCCAACGCCTCGCCACACCCTTCGAGTGAAAACTCAGCGGTTGATTACTATTTATCATGACTGGGTCTTAAGATTTGAACACTAATCTGACGGTCGATCTTGATCGGTTCTCTCCGAGGAGGTTTGTTAAAATACAACGTGTGGCACATCGGGTAAAAAGACTTCCTGTTGGTTCTAAATATCAAGAGTAGTTTTTAATGAGCTTCCCTCTGAAGTTGCTTTCCTCCGATATACGATGTACCAGCCTGAGACAGTGAAACTATCAAATATCAGCTATCATACGCCTTTGTTATTGACATCCAGGACGCTAAAAGATTAAGAGCCACCCGGCGGCGAGTTCTCGTATTAAAGCTTTATGTAGGAGGCGGCACGGAACGGCGCGACGAGTTCAGCCAATGAGAGAGTGCTGACATCTGAGGGTCATCAGTTCGTGGTGTGTGGTGTGGGGTGTCGTGTGATTATATTCCTTCATTAAAAGCCTTGGTTCGTATTGCAAAAAGATTATACAGGTGTGAAGAAAGACGGCCGGGCCTTCATCGTGTGGTCCTGTGTGTGTGTGTGTGTGTGTGAGAGAGTGTGTGTGTGTGTGTAAGCCTCTCTCACACGACTGATTGGGTCTTCAGTGTGGGAACGGTCTCTCAACCCAACACACACACACACACAGCAGACAACACACATTGGTCCCTCTTAATGCCGTGGTTTCTTACTGAGGGTCTTGAGCTAATACTGGGGGCGGTCCTATGGAAATAAGGAGCAAACTACAGACCCATAACTCAAGAGCGGAGGATTGTATTTTTACTGGTGCGCATCATAAACGTATTTTCATTATGTATTGTATGTACAGAGAGACATTATTCTTGATTTATGCTTGAAAAATTCATTAGTTTGTCCGATTAAATAAGATTTAAGAACAAAGGACAGGTGGTTAAAGTTTTCATGTAGCAGAAACACTTGTTGATGTCTTAAAGGGAACAGGCGTTCACTTTGTATAACGGCATCTTAAACGGGAATTTATTACGGACATTACAGACTGTATACTATATATTAAACATCACAGCACTAACACATGCTTTTAACGCGTAACAGTAAAGAAAAAACTGCTTATTATCAACTTCGCCTGCTTTCTATACAGGACTATTTTTTGACTATCGAAGTGAGGCCTCATTCTCCCACACACAACACACCCGCACACACACTTCACAACACACCTCCAGCACACACACACACACACGACACACTCTGAACCAGCACAGGCGGTACTTATCAGGAGAGCAAGGAGGCAGCCTGCCCAGAGCTGCAAAATCTTCCAATGCTCAACATGGTGTGTCTTGAGTGCACGTGGGCGGTCCAGTGTGCGCGGTGCACGTGTGTGTGTGTGTGTGTGTGTGTGGTGTGTGCTGTGTTCCCAGGCTCCGGTCGGGAAAGCTCCAGCA